AGAAGAGAGGAGGAGGAGGAGAGGAGAGGAGACGGAGATGAGAGAGAGAGAGAGAGAGAGGAGAGAGAGAGAGAGATGTGTATATATATATATACATATATATATATATATATATATATATATATATATATATATATATCAATTAGGGCTCAAATAACGGAATTTCAAAGCACCTAAAAGTAACCGGCCGCTTTCGGACTTTAAAGCACCAGAATCTTCATCAGAGCATGAACTATTGTCAGTCTACATGTCCTGGCCTCTCACGATCACCCTTGAAGGTGACCCCCACGCTGAAATGAGGGAACTCAGTATCACCCTAAGGTTACCTGGCTATTTGAGATATTTAGGCATCAGAATATTCACTCCCATGAACCAGCTGAAGAAGGCCTTCAAAGTGGGATGCAGGATCGAAGGACGGGGAAATATTATCCCTCAGAAGTTAACGGTCTTATTTAATTTTTCAGCATCTGGATTTTGGCACCGCATATCATTGTTCTTTTATATATATATATATATATATATATATATTATATACATATATATATATATATGTATATATATATATATATATATATATATATATATATATTTATATATGCATATATATGTATATGTATATATATATATATATATATGTATATATATATGTGTATATATATGTATATATGTATATATATATATATATGTATATATATATATATATATATATATATATATATATATATATATAAAGAACAATGATATGCGGTGCCAAAATCCAGATGCTGAAAAATTAAATAAGACCGTTAACTTCTGAGGGGTAATATTTCCCCGTCCTTCGATCCTGCATCCCACTTTGAAGGCCTTCTTCAGCTGGTTCATGGGAGTGAATATTCTGATGCCTAAATATCTCAAATAGCCAGGTAACCTTAGGGTGATACTGAGTTCCCTCATTTCAGCGTGGGGGTCACCTTCAAGGGTGATCGTGAGAGGCCAGGACATGTAGACTGACAATAGTTCATGCTCTGATGAAGATTCTGGTGCTTTAAAGTCCGAAAGCGGCCGGTTACTTTTAGGTGCTTTGAAATTCCGTTATTTGAGCCCTAATTGACTTTCAAGGAGGATTTTAGGTGGGCAAGACTTCTTGACAGACGCTAATTTGTGCGCTGAACCCGATTATGATGCTAAATAATCAAAAATTGGTCAATATCTTTAGGGTGAATGGAGGTCTCGTCATTTGACCTTGAATACCTTGAGAGGTAGGCATTCTGACCTTCTGAACTCCAATATTCTCTTCTGACCTTTTGACCGACATTCTGACCTTGAGAGGTCAGAACTTTTTGGCAAACGCTTGGTTCAAGCGCCAAGTGAATGTTCTTATGCTTAAAAATTCGATTTCAGTAGTTGACTTTTGAATGATATGGAACTTCCCGTCGCTTGACCCGGGCGCTTAGAATCTGCATTTTACTAGCACCCTTTGAGTGCTGTTGAGTTGGAATTCATCTGAGCCTTAATCTGACCTTGACGGATGACCTCGAGACGTCAGAACTCCTCGACAGACGCTAGGTTGTGTGCTGAAGGCGATTCAAATGCTGAATAATTATTAATGGGCCAGTAACTTTCGCGTGGGGATGAATTCCCGTCATTTGACCTTGAAGGGTAACAATTCAAGGCCAGGACTTTTTGACGCGCGTTAGGTTATGCGCTGGTGAATATTCTATTGTTTAAGAATCCGCAATCAGCCGGCAACTTTTGGGTGATTGGAGAGTTCCGTCATTTAGCCATATCAATTTCATCTGAATTCATATGAATTTGACCTTGAAGATCACGTGATGTAAAATAAATCCTGGAGTCGGTGTTCGTGGGCTACAATTAAACATCTTATGCGTTTTCAGTGGAAGCCTGGATCCGGCTCAAACGCTGCAACAACATGGAAGTTCAAACTATGATTCTTACAAGTCCCATCGTGCAGCCTGCTAGTTTTAGAACAAGGTGAAGAATCATGAATGTGATGTGATGTCCTGTTCCGAATCCAATAGATTAAACATACACAAAATTTGACAGAACGTGAATATGAACGGTTACCAGCGACAGCACGATAGCGGGACCGAGACCAGGGACATCGCCATACCGTACCGCATGTCACGTAACTCACCACGGGCTCTTCGAGACCGCTGCTGCCTGAACTCCCGAAAACATGTTGTCGGTGTGCAGCTGGCGATTGGTCGACGTGTTTGGCCTGCAGCCTGGCGTGCCGAATAAACAGCCGTGCTGCCGGCCAGCTGGATACATGATGACGCGCTCCTCGCGGGACGTACCAGACATGATAGGCGTGATGACGCGCTCCTCGCGGGACGTACCCGGTATGGTAGGCGTGATGACGCACCCCTCACGGTACGTTCCCGGCATGGCAGGCGTGATGACGCGCTCCTCGCTGCGGGACGTACCCGACATTGTGGGCGTGATGACGCGTTCCTCGCGGCGGAACGTACCCAGCATTGTAGGCGTGATGACGCGCCCCTCGCGGGACGTACCCGGCATGGCAGGCGTGATGCCGCGCTCCTCGCTGCGGGACGTACCCGACATTGTGGGCGTGATGACGCGTTCCTCGCGGCGGAACGTACCCAGCATTGTAGGCGTGATGACGCGCCCCTCGCGGGACGTACCCGGCATGGTAGGCGTGATGACGCGCTCCCCGCGGCGGGACGTGCCCAGCATGGCAGACGTGATGACGCGCTCCTCGCAGCGGGACGTACCCGGCATTATAGGCGTGATAAGGTGCTCCCCACGGCGGGACGTACCCAGCATGGTAGCCGTGGTGACGCGCCCCTCGCGGCGGGACGTACCCGGCATTATAGGCGTGATGACGCGCTCCTCGCGGCGGGACGTGCCCAGCATGATAGGCAGCCTGCCAAAGCCGGTTATTGTCATGCCAGCAACACTCACCGCCCCGTTGGCAACTGATTTGAGGCGCTGGCACTTTTGTTGCCCTGCTTATTATCTATAGCTTACAGTTAGACTCCTCGTAGCCACCCCAGGTTCCTCATCTGACAGGAGTGCCAACCGTACTTTGGCCATACGTGGTGCGATTTTCTTAGAAAGGAAACAAGTTTCAATTAGGCTTGTCGTCTTGCGTTTAAAGGATAAGGTAAATAGTATGTGAATTCGCACCGTTTCCAATCACGACATTGACAATGGATAACATCGTAACAAAAACACGTGTGTGGAACAGCCATGCCCGTGGCAGTACCCGTACACTCCAAAAGGTGCAAGAGTATGACTGCGTATTATTTGAGACTTGGCAAATCCTTGAACTTTGAGCTCGACAGCATAAGTATTGGCACGTAAAAAATTTGAGTATCTGGCCTTGGCACATAGCCTTTGGGGGTACATGGCATTACATGGAACCTTGCCCTTCTGCATAAATACTGACACATGCTATTTTATTG